GTGATTTGTACAGTTTAGTGTGCAATCAGTGAACTCAACTTACTTTAAAACCGAAAAAGTTCAAAGTTATAAAGCACAGAAATTAATTTTAGGTGAGAGTTGATTTAATTTTCCTTAGTAATTAATTAAATTCACTTTAGGAATACACATCTGCTTTATAATATTATTTTATATTCTTACTGATAAGACTTATAGGAAAACTACAAATTCAATCTTACCGAATGGAAAAAGTTCTAAAAGCATCTCAGTCGTCACAGGCTTCAAGTTCAGTTGTGATGGATGAGCTTGAATGTGAAATTGTTTCGCCATCTAATTCATGATTTTTGCATAATTTTTAATGTGAATGGTGAAATTTTTTATTCAGCAGTTTTAATGTTTGTTCATGTTTTGGGTGCACATCAAGCACATCAAGCGAAAATTAAATTAGAAGAAATTCTTTCATCACTAAGTGACATTTTAAATAAAATTTTAACTCATTTTACATATTCCGAGTTGTCGAAATCCAAACGATATGACACAACAACCGACTTTAATCCACTGTCGAGATCAATGGGACCAGCAGTGCCTCCACTGATATCATTCTCTGCTTCAAGTATTCTCACTTTTAAATCCAAACCATAAATCTCATTTGCGATTTCCAGAAGAATTCCTGTTGAGTTTGATGTAACGACAACACCATTTGAAGAAAAAGTTTTATTGAAATTCTCACCCATAAGATATTTTGAAAATCCAGTTCGATTACTGCGATAAATCAGAACCGCTCCATTGTCATCGACATCGGTTATTTGCATCGATGGTGACTTCATTTTTCGATATGTGAATCTCATTTGTAAATGAATGTTGTCGACTGATTGCAGGAAGTCGCAAAAATATCTTCCAGTTGCTTTTATCATGTCATCGTAGCTTGAAAAGAATTCTCGTCATAAAATGTCATTACCTCGAGACTTCGTTCTCGTTCATTAAATTGTCTCACCCAAAGTTACTGAAAAATCTCACAAAGCATTTTCCAAAAAATATCATGAAGTAATCGTACTGCTTGCCAGTAATCTCTGCGAGAGCTGCTGCCAGATCCGGAATCAAATTATCAGGATATTGTTGATGAGTATTGAAGACATTGTATTTGCACTGTGAAGCAATCAACGCCTGGTTCCAAACTCGTTCACCGAACTCCAACTATTTCAAGAATTTTTAATTTATTNCAACATAATCTTGGTATTTGATTCTCTCCTGAACTTCTCCTCCAAGCCTAAGAAATGGACATTGAGAGGCACTTTTAGTTTCCATTTAACAGTTTTAAAATTTTGTTTTGATGTTTGTACCGCTACTTCGTCGATGGGATGAAATGTCGTCAGGTCCTTCTTCAAGCCAAAAGGTTTCCATTTCGCCTTTTCCCTGTAATCGAAATAATTTTTTGTTTTCTGTAATTTTAATGGAAAAAGTTTTAATGAAGGATTTATGTCTTGCCTTAACTGTAACAAGACCACGGTAAGTGACGCGGTATCCCAACTTCTTCAACTTTTTGGCTGAGTGTCCTGAAACTTGGATTCGATTTGATTCCCCGCTGCTTTCCATTCGACTTGCGGTATTGACAGTATCACCGAACAAACAATAACGTGGAACTTTTAATCCAACAATGCCAGCGACAACGGAACCTGAATGAAAACCTAAACAACGGCAAAAAAGTTTCTCTGAATTCGGAGAATATCCAGAGAATCAATTAAATCATAGAATTTACCAATTTTGACAGTGACGCCATCAATTTGAAGATTTTTGATGCTGTCAAGCATTTGAAGTGAAAGGTCAGCAGCATGTTGCATGTGCAGTGGATTCTCGTCAGGTGCACCAGACACTGCCATGTAAACTTTTCCAACAGTTTCCACTTTGTAAGCGTAAGGTGATTGAATCAACTCATCAAATGCTGAGAATGCTGCATTGAGAGTCGTCACTGTATTCATTGCCGATTGAATTTGATTGTGTTCAGTATTGTCAGCTTCCTGGATTTCAGCAAAAATCACCGTGACTTCTTCAAAAGTCTGGCATGTCGTCAATGGGTCTTGTCCATTACGTAGTCGATCAGCAACTGTTCTTGGAATCATCGAATACAAAAGTTCATCGCCCTGTTTCTTCCAAGAGTCAGCAAGATTCAAAGAAGTTTCCAACTCTTCCGCTCGATTCTCTTCACGTTCACACATCAAGTCAAGACGCGAATAATGAGAAAATCCAGAAAAAACCATTTCACGACTGAGTCCATGCGGGTTCAGATCATTTAAGTAAAGTCCCATTTCGCGAAGTTCATCCAAATTATTAATTCTTTAAGTTTTAAATTAAATTAAATTAAATTTATGAACAAAATTGAAATCTTACAAAGGGCTGCAAAGGAAAACCAACATGTTGACGTCTTTCAAGTATCTCATTTCACCTTTCAACAAGATACTTCGAAGACCTTGAGATCCACGTCGATCTTTCGGTAAAATTCCATTAACTTCATCTCTACTGAACTCAGGAACTCCCATTTGTGAATCAAGATCTGCATAACTTTCAGGTCCACCTGGTTTTAACCGACCCTGAGCATCAGTTGAACTGTTCTCTGCTTCACTCTCAGGTTCTTTTGCTTTCAGCAATTGAATTTCAAACAACACCGCTTGCAGTGTCGTGACCTAAGAATAACTCGAATCATGAATTAGTATGAATCATTCTACGGTGATCACTAACATCTCTTACGGTCTCAAAGTCAAACTTTATCCCAGTGGGACGTCGAAGTTTAAAGAAACGAGTGATTGGACTGCCAATGAGTAAATTCGGGTGCTTATTCTCATTGTTGGCAGACCACGCTTCAATTAAGTTATTTCCAGCGGCCACAATCAGCATTTCGCTGTTCAAAATCATCCCTGATGATGGTGACGGGTTTTTACGTGAAAGTTGTGCGGTGTTTACGGTGATGATGGTAATTGTGATATGGAAATTGTTTTCATATTTTGATTGTGCAATCAGTGAATTCAACTTCTATTCAAATCTTTCTTAACATCAAAAATAAAATTCAATCTTACCGAAAGGAAAAAGTTCTAAAAGCATCTCGGTCGTCACAGGCTTCAAGTTCAGTTGTGATGGATGAGCTTGAAGGTGAAATTGTTTCGCCATCTAATTCAAGTATTTTTGCATAATTTTTTATGTGAATGGTGAAAAGTTTTTAGTCAGCAGTTTTAATGTTCAGGGTTTTTGTGCAGACAACAAGTAAAAAGTCAATTTAAATGAAAAAAATTCTAATCATTAAGTGACATTTTTAAATAAGATTTTAGAGCATTTTACATATTCCGAGTTGTCGAAATCCAAACGATACTTCACAACGACCGATTTCAATCCACTGTCGAGATCAATGGGCCCAACAGTGCCTCCAATGGTATCATTCTCTGCTTCAAGTATTCTCACTTTTAAATCCAAGCCATAAATCTCATTTGCGATTTCCAGAAGTTGACCTGTTGCATTCCACATTGCAATGAATAAATTATATTCAACAACATGTTAATTTGAATTTTTTACCCATAAGATATTTTGAAAATCCAGTTCGATTACTGCGATAAATCAGAACCGCTCCATTGTCATCGACATCGGTTATTTGCATCGATGGTGACTTCATTTTTCGATATGTGAATCTCATTTGTAAATGAATGTTGTCGACTGATTGCAGGAAGTCGCAAAAATATCTTCCAGTTGCTTTTATCATGTCATCGTAGCTTGAAAAGAATTCTCGTCATAAAATTTTACTTCCCTATTCAGATCGTAAAATTATCTCACCCAAAGTTACTGAAAAATCTTACAAAGCATCTTCCAAAAAATATCATGAAGTAATCGTACTGTTTGCCAGTAATCTCTGCGAGAGCTGCTGCCAGATCCGGAATCAAATTATCAGGATATTGTTGATGAGTATTGAAAACATTGTATTTGCACTGTGAAGCAATCAACGCCTGGTTCCAAACTCGTTCACCGAACTCCAACTATTTCAAGAATTTTTAATTTATTTTTTATAAATTATTTTTGTAGTTGCTTTTTATTAATGTTTTATGTTAAATCTTCGTTTGACATTTAACGTTAAAAATGACGCTCAATAGCTTTATGGTGTTTCCCAGGATATCCTGGGAAACGACAATAACTTCTAATTCTATCATTTATAGCAATACCTGAATAAAATGATGAGCGGATTCCAGAAGCATTCCATACATTTTTGAATTTTGCTTTAATTAAAATCTAAGAAACTTAAAAAAATTAAAGAAATTTGAATTATTAGAAGAGTAAAATCAAAAAATAAGAGAATCAATAAATTAATCAAAACTTCTGCTTAGTTTGAAAGAAATTATGAAAAATTAACATTTGGATACAAAATTAAAAGAACTTGAATTCGAAAAGCTGNTATTGTTGATGAGTATTGAAAACGTTGTACTTGCACTGTGAAGCAATCAACGCCTGGTTCCAAACTCGTTCACCAAACTCCAACTATTTCAAGAATTTCCAATAAATTATTTTTCCAGTTGATAAAATCTTGAGGTCGTTTTGAAATGACTTTTTTTTTCTTTTAAGTACTATAAAGTCAAAGTTGAGCAGTAAATTGATTGGAAAAATTGCTTTGTTATCAAGTTTTCTCTCTCGATTTGCGTAACTCCTGCGGTTGATTTCATTTTAAGTGTTATCAAATATCTGACAAAACTATTCTCGATGAGGTCATTGAGATATTAAGCAACGATAGACATGACATTTCTTTATAAAACTCAGAAAAACGCTTACGGCATTGTCATAAAAGTATTACAAAGAGAAATTGGACGTCAGCTTAAATTAATTTCAAACTAAAAGCTCATCAGCTCATAAAAAGCAATAAAGCTTTTATCGTTGTCATAAAACACAATTTCCTTCGGTGTATAGATATTAAAACCGATAACCGAGAACCGATAA